CAAGCCGGGCGAGGAGGCGGAGGTGGGGCCGCGCGCCGACCACAACACGATGCGTGGCCTTCCGAGGCGGGGCTTCCCCACGCGGCGCGGGGGTCTCCGCCTGCGCGCGCGCGAGCGCTGTGCAGCAAGACAAGGAAGCTGGCCGGCGCCACGCCGGCAGCTTCGCCGCCGAAGTGGCGCCACTGTGCCAACGCGCACGGCGCGGCGCTCGCTCGACACATGCCCAGCGCGGCCTGAGAGGCCCCGAGGTAGCCTTCGAGTCTCCTCACAAGCAGACACTCCCCCGAGAGGTGGTCGCGTGGCGATATGCTCGCATGCGCGGGTTCGTTCGACGCCCTTCGTTTGTAATAATCGTTTCGTTCTTCGTTCGTTATGAAGTGTCTTCTTGGTCGCCGTTCTTGGTTCATCGTCCGTCGTGTTCGTACCTCGTTTGTGGTTAGTCGTCTTTCGGGGGATGCGATGCGCGTCATCCTCTCCCTTTTAATGGGGCCGCGTGCGGGCAGATGCGAGGATGGAGCTGACTGTCGGGCACTGCAGGCCGGTCCAGGGCGCCCAGCAGCAGGGCTCCTCATAGCAGTCCTCGAACGGCAGCTCCTCAATGAGCACATGACCACGGTGGCGTTGCAGACGGCGTCGGCAGCAGAAGCTGGGACAGCCGAGTGTGAATTGAGAATGCTTAGCATTATTAGCAGCAGAGTTCAGAGCCAGAAGAAAGCGGCGAAGCCGAGAGCCCTCCTGGATTGCCTCGATAGCCTTCCTCGTGCTTGGGTACTCGGAGTCGGCGTAGATGGATATTAGCGCGTTCGTGACGAGCTGGCCGAAGACGAGGGCGAGCCTCCATGGCAGGGGCAGCAACCGTGCAGCAAGTGCGGTAAGGTGGGCGACATCACCAGGGGAGGCTCCCATGCTGTGCGAGCATTTGGGAATATAGACAGTGCAAAGGTATAGCGCATTTTGGCAAACCTGGCTTGAGCCAAAATGGCTTGAGCCAAAATGGGTACGGTCGATGGTGGTGCTGGTGATGGTGATGATGTTGTTGATGATGATGGTGGTGATGGTGATGGTGACGGTGATGGTAATGGGAGGGCAGAAGCAAGGCTTGGAGGAGGGAGGAGAGGGAGGAAAAAAAGAAGGAACGCGGGGCTCTGTCTCTTCAAAAAGAGGACCCAACATGATGGTTGAGAGCAAACGCGCACACCAAAACAACTGATCCTCCCCCCTCCCTCTTCCGTTGCAATTTGTTGTTTGCGCCTCCCCCCTCAGACCTTGGGGGGGAGGAGAACAATCCAATCCACAAACAACAACTGACCCTTCATCATCCGCCCCGCCTCAGCTTTGTTGTTGTTTCTCCCGCCCTCCCCCCCTTGGGGTTAGGATACCTGGAAGGAGGAGGAAGATAATCGTAAAACAGAACTCGAAGAGCATTCGATCGACGACACAAATGAAGTACCCCACACTACAGGAAAAGAGGAAGAGAGAGATAAGGAGAAAGTAAACGACCATCAATAAAAAGGTCTGACGGCCGCGTGCTCCACAAGAGCGCCACCTCCCTTCTTTCAACCAGGAGGCCCGCCTTCGGCGCCCATCCTCTACTGCGCACGCAAGGTTTGCTCCACCCAGGCGTCGCAACAACTGCCAATCGTTATGATCATCCTACCTCCTCCTCCTCCTCCTCCTCCTCCTCCTCCTCCTCCTCCTCCTATAAGACACTATTGAGCACTAAACGGAAAAAAAGACACCTGAGGCTTCCATGGGTTAATTATCATCCTAAACTAACGACTGTGGAATCCAAGGTTAGGCGCTGGTCCAGGCGAGCCGCGCGAGGAAACGGCGTGCGAAGAGCGCGCGGCACGCCGAGCCTGCAAGCGGGGCCCCGGGGGACCAGTCTGCGCTCCCGCCGGAGAGGCACCGATGCCAGCGGGACAGCACGAGGGGAGGCAAGGACGACGGCGAGGCCAAGAGGCCCGCGCGGCATTGCGCTTTTTTGCGCAGGCGCAGGCGCCACGCACACACTTTTCTCTTCGCGGGTCGAGAGCGCACCTCGTCCGGTCGAAGCTCAGCGGGCCGCGTGAAGCTGGAATTAGCAAAGAGGGGGGGGCAGAAGGGGAGGCCAGGCGCACGCGCACACCGCCTCGCATGCACGTGTGCATCGGCCAAGGCAGGCTGTTGCATATTCCACCACGTGCCTATCCGAAGGTGGGTGTCGGTCAGCACGGCTCCATCTCAGCGGGGCAGCGAACAAGCATATTAGCCCGACTGGGCAGTCGGAATCGCAACCATCGTCCTCGCGACTGCCAATCGCCCTTCCTCTCCAGCACAGTCTGGCACAAGCGCCGCCTGCACTACACATGTCCCTGCTGTCATGCCCATGACGACTACCATCGCAGCAAGTAGAGTTCAGAATGGGTTCTTCCCAACTACGTTGAAGTGAAGGCATCCACTTTTCCCTGCCCCTTTTTTTCAACCCTCCGCCAGACGGGTCTTCACGCAACGTCTCCTCGACTCCCATACGCCAAAGCTACTAATTAGCATTGGGCCTGCCCGTATTGGGCAGAGGAAGCAGCCAAACTACCAATCTCGATGAAGACAAAGTGGGTCAGCGCGGATCACTTGGAGGTGCGTGGGGATGGAGGAGGGGGCAGAGGAGGAGGAGGAGGAGGGGGAGGAGGAGGAGGAGGAGAGGAGGCGCAGATCACTTGGATCGGCGCTGGCCCCCCCCCCCACCCTGTCGCCACCGTCGGCACCACGTCCCTGGCACGCTCCGCGCGCCGAGGCGGGGGGTCCAGCGCCGATCCAAGACATCTCCGCGCGGGCTTCTGGAAATCTGTGCTTGTGCCGTTTCAGTAGTCCTCGAGGGACCCATCAGTTCTATCCTGTGTGCCCTCTCGTCGGGCGCTCCATCCTTTGGCGCTCCATGCTTCAGCTTCGCAGCGGCCGCGTTCGTCTTCGTTCCTTCCTCTAGCACGCCGGACAATTCGCCTTTCGGTTGCCCCGATTAGCCACACGCTGGAGCGGCCTGCCTCTGCCTCGCCGCCGACGAAAAAGTTTCAACTTCACAGACATGAGGCGTTTCGTTGCCCGTTTCTCTTCTCGCGATTCCCGAACAAGAAGATGAACCAAAAAACTGCAAATCGCGCGCTCTTGTTGCACATGCGTCCTTCCGGATGCCTGGCTCTGTGGTGGTGGTGCCCTCTCGTCATCTCTGGGAGCCCCGAATGGGTACGGAAACAAAAGGTACGATGCCCAACAACAAATGCTGCCCAAGACCAACAGTCGCCGCTGTTGGGCATGCAGTCTCCTGTCTCAACTGGACAAGGCCCGCGGCGGTGCCGACAGTAAATCCTGTTCAAATGAGAATGATCTGGTGTCGGTCTTCGTACCATTCTTTCCATAACCCATAGCGATCGTACCAAGCTCGGCTCTGTGTTGCTGTTGAGCCCTCTCGATCGTCGGGAGCAAGAGGAATCGCATCGGCGAAAATAGGCCGGCATGCAGGCCTCCAATGAGAAGCCGGGATCCAGATCGCAATCCGAAGCCAAATCGAATCGGGGTCGGAAGCCAGCGAAACCGAACCGAGCCGGCGGAATCGAAGCGAGCCTTGGGTCGGGCATGCCCTCCTACAGGCGGATTCTGCAAGACAAGTGAAACACTACACACATTCACACACACAACACACAACACACAACACACAACACACAACACACAACACACAACACACACACACACACTCAAACTCAAACCAAAAGCAGCGGAACACAGCCCAAGAATCGTCTCCGGGCTACCTGTGACCGTTTCTGAATCCTCCTCCCGTGGAGGGACATGCCCGACTTACAGCGGGCCCCGTGGCGGCCCTTCGGGGGCGTGCATGGCTCCAGGGACCAGCCCTGGTGGTGGCGGTCCCGGTTTTGAGCCTAGCGCCGCTGCCCTTACAGCGGGCACTCCCAGCACGGGCCCCATGGGTGGCGGTGTTGGTGCATGCAAAGGCCCTTCGGGTGGCGTGCGTGCGGATCCAAGAACCGGCCCTACGGGTGGCGGTGCCCTGCCGCCACCACGCTCCCACGCTGCAGACCGCCGCGGCGCACGTCACCGACCTCGCCCAGAGAGCCCGCGGGCCTTGCCCCCTCGGCGCCGGCGACTGGCGGTGGTCGTGCCCACGACCTCTCGGCGCAGGGACCGACCGTCCCGAGAACTTCTGTAGGCTCCCGCGCAGTGCAGGAGAAGGAGGAGAAGGAGGAGGAGGCGGAGGAGGAGGAAGAGGAGGAGGAGGAGGAGGCGGAGGAGGACCTTTGGCCAGAGTGACCGCTGGTCCCAGACACCCTCGCGTTGTGGAAAAATCACGGCGGAAGGTTTTTCGATGTTTTCGGCCTCGGGGGGCCCTTCCCGGGCTTCCGGATCGTCTAAAAACGACTCGGGATGAAACACTGGTCCCAGGGAAGGGGTCCAGACTTCTGGGGATCGATGTTTTGAAAAAACCATGACGCCAGGTGTCTGGGCTCTACAAACCCCAAATCGTTCCAATAACAAAAACAAGTTTCTCAGAAGACAAACCTGATGGGTTCTCAAACAAGACGGTCTCAGCCAGAAATGTTCCAAGAGCCATTCGTGCAGACCCCCCAAACAACTTTCTTAGAGCATGCTTTGGTGGGCCTAGAGGCGAGCCGGGACGCTACGCCAAACCTTGAACCTCTCGGCCCCTGTTCCGCGGCCCCGACTCTCCATGCGTCGCCCCGCCTCGGCACTGGATCGGATCGGCTCCCTCCTCGGCCTCCTCCTCCTCCTCCTCCTGCTCCTCGTCCTTCAGCTCGTCCCTCCTCGTCCTCCTCGTCCTCCTCCTCGTCCTCGCCCTCCTCCTCGAACCTCCTCCTCCTCTTCCTCGTCCTCCTCGAGCCTACTCCTCGTCCTCCTCCTCGCCCTCCTCCTCCTCCTCCTCGTCGTCCTCCTCCTCCTCCTCCTCCTCCTCCTCCTCGTCCTCCTCGCCCTCCTCCTCCTCCTCCATCCTCTCACTCCATGCGCCGCCGCGCCCTCTGTCCCCGACGCGCCCGAGGGGCCGACGACGACGCCACGGCAAAAACCCGGGGCAGGCCCGGCGCCCCGCACCCCGCGGCAGACGCAGCCGGCCCCGCGGCCGCAGCCCCGCGGCGAGCCCACCGCGCCCGCAGGCGCCGTGGCGCCCCGGGGTGGCCCAGCGGCGGCTTCCCCGAGGCGGAGAGGCCGCCCGTCGGCGCAGACGGCGCGGCGACGTGCTGCCGGGAGCGCGGGAGCGCCCCTGCGGGTCCCTGGAGACGGCCCTACAGGGCAGTTGTTAACACATGCGTTTTTTTTTTTTTTTAATTATTTATATATATATAGGTGTGTGTATGATTTTTTGATACATGATTAGTATGAATGCATTTATGCATGAACTCATCTTTGTTTTTAGCACTGCATCCCTGCATGTTTAATGCATGATCCGCACGCGGAGCATGTATTAGAACCGGCACTGTATATGCCCGCCCCCGGGGCCTCCGTGGCCTCTGGAGGCCCGAGGAGAGACGGGATCGTGCACAGCAGGGGCCCGAGCACAAGAGACCCTCCACAAGAAACCCAGCCCTGAGACCCCAGGACGTCCACTGATTGTTGTTGTGGGAACGTCACGCCTTCCATCGCAAAGCCCTCGAAACCCCAAGAGTGCCCCTCTCATACAATACACAGCGCAACGGCCGTCTCGAGAGACGACTATATGCCCGAGGTGGCCCGGACAGACTGGTGGCCTAAATGGCTGGGCAAACGTAGGCTCTTCACTTATTCGGGTAAGCCCATGGATGGCTAGATGCCTAGAGACCAAAGCACCCAAGACCATAAAAGCAAAGCTCCCCGCCTCCTCCTCATCCTCCTTCTGCTCCTTCCTATCCCTCCTGAAGGGGGAGCGGAGATGACTGTCGGACGCTTTCGACGGCCTTCTGTGTCTGTTGCCCTGTGTCACCGAAGCTGTGCTCTTCGCGCTGAGCGAGACGCTGGACGCGATCACACTTGCGCTGAACGCCCTCCTCATATAGAATGGCAGCTTCCGGGCTGAGTCCGAGAAGCGCGATTGCCTTCGCGCCCCTTCGCGGGGCCTCAGGAGATCAGATGATCTTCGACGGCCCCTCCATTGTGATCGGGGGGTTCTCGGAAGCTCTTCCACGGCTTCAGAGGCTTCCGGCGGTTTCCAAGAGCTTCCGATGACTACCCGAAGGCGTGTGGGGTGTATCGGAGAGGGGGGAGGGGGGGGAGGAGGGCAAGGGCGAAGGAGGCCCTCCTGCTCCCTCCCACATCCGCCACCCCTCTCGTTCCTCCTCCCTCCTCCTCCTCGTTCGCCCTCCTTTTCATCCTTCGCTCCTCCTCCTCTGCGCCGATCATCATCACCACCACCGCCAGCATCATCATCATCATCATCATCATCATCATCATCATCATCATCATCATCATCATCATCATCATCATCAGCATCATCATGATCAGCAACATCATCATCAACCTCATCATCATCACCACCACCATCATCTCCATCATCATCCCCATCATCACCATCATCATCATCATCATCATCATCAGCATCATCATCATCATCAACACCGTCACCATCGCCATCACCATCACCATCACACCGACCATCGCAATCATCATTACCACCTCTATCATAGTCATCATCATCAGCAGCATCAGCATCATCCTCATCATCACCATGACCAGCATCATCCCCAGCATCATCATCCTCATCGTCACCATTATTTTCACGCCCTCCCTATCCTCGTCCATCCTCCCATCAAGCAACGGCTCAGACTGCGCAACCCAAAAGCATCAGGCTCAAGCATGGTCATGTCAGGCTCAAACCTCGTGCGCGAGGCGCTCGGGGTGGCTCCAGGGCAATCGCCTCCATGCTGCGCGCTACCATCGCCAAACGTGAACCCCTGAGAATGCGGCGGCCGAGGAGGACGGACACCCACGACACGTGGAATACGAACAAGCGGTTTTTTGGACCCGTGCTTCTTCATGGGCGTCCCGTCCGCAGGGCACGGGGTGGCTTCGGGCCCATCTGAGTCCCCACCCTGCGGCGGTGCCTCAAGAAGGGGGATCGCTTGGGAGTGAAACCGATGATTGGACGATTCGCTACTTCTTATTCCAAGCTTCCATGTCGCTGTCAATTTGGGTGACACTTGTGGAGGTGCGTCATGTGAGACCGGTCGTTGGCGGGCAGCAGATTCCGCTCCCTACAACGCCTGGCGCGGGCGGCCGTTGGGAAGCTACTTGGCGCATCTCGAATGTAGATGCTCGGCACTCATGCAATTGTCCTGTCCGCCGGCCTTGCGGACGCTGGCTGTCAGCGGTGACAAGACGCGCTGTACTCGGAATGGTCTGTGCTCTCTGCGATGAAACTTAATGTGCAATGAATCGGGTCCCGTGGGTACAAGTTGCGTGCATTACGCAAGTGAGTCGGACAATTATGCGACTACGTTTACTGGTGCATACTCCGCTGCATTCCTTCCATTGCTCACGTGTTGTATTGCCGCAGGTGGTGAGGAACCCGGAAGAAACGGTGGACACATCCAGGGTCTTTTGGTCGTTGTGGCCAATGGGCATGGGCATGACATTAATGTTGAACGCTTCACGATTGAGCATCGTAACCTTCAAAGTAAGACTGCGATTGCATGGCAAGACGTCGTCCAGGGCTCCTCCTCCTCCTCCGCCTTCCCACACCTCCTCCTCTTCCTCCTCCTCCTCTCCTCCTCCTCTTCCTCCAACTCCTCTTCCTCCTCCTCCGCATCCTCGTCCTCCTCCTCCAGGCCTCCTCCTCCTCCTCCTCCTCGTCCTCGTCCTCCTCCTCATCCTCCTTCTCCTCCTGCTTCCCCCACTTCCTCCTCCTTCTCCTCCTCCACCCCCTCCTCCTAATCTACCTGCCGCGCCGACGCGCGGCCAACAGAGGGCCTTCTCAAGTCGAGCCCTTCAGCGGCACGTACTCCTTCGGTCTCGGAAGTACCTCTGGCAGGGGCCCGACAGATCTGGCACCGTGCCTTGCTCACGCGGTTGAGTGCCTCCAGTGCTTGTGCCGTAGTGTATGTATGTACGTATGTATGTATGTATGTATATGTGTATGATTGCATGTGCAGGTCAATACACATGTATGTATGTGTGCATGACTCCATGCACGTATGTCTAGTTCCATGCATGTATGCATGTGTATGCATGTACGTATGTGTGCATATATGTAGGTATGTTTGTGTGCATGTATGTATATATGTTTGCCTGTATGCATGCATGCATACATGTATGAATGTATGTATGTATGCTTGAAATTCTGTATGTATGCCTGTAGGTATGTATATGCATGTATGCATACATGCATGTATGCATTCATGCATGTAGCGTAAGTAGACGTGTATATTCATAGTTACATGTACAGATGCATGTACATGTAATGTCTATACATATATATAGTCTTCGTCGTCCCTCTCTGCAGCCACCTCCCAGATGTCTCCTGCGGCCGTCTGAGGCTCCCAGAAGCCTCCAGAACCCCGAACAGGCACCAGGCACCTCTATCAATCTCCTCGTCCTTCCTCCTTCTCTCCCATCTCCACTCTCCAAGACGTACCGATATCTGTACTACCTGGACCTGGCCCGGGATGCGTTCCGATTAGAATCCCAGGGCGATTTCAGCCGTGGCGACGAGGGCGCGCCAGGAGCCTCGAACCGCCGTCTCGGTGCTTGCCGATCGGAAAGAGTGGGCAGACACATCATGAAGTCACGGGGAGCTATGCTCGCGCCTCGCGCTGCGCGACAAACTGTGCGCTCCCGGGCCGCCCCCCGGGGGGAGGAGAGTAGGAAGATCCGGTGGTAACTCATGGGAGCCTCCCAAACCATCTTGTCGACGCTGGTCGACGCTGGTCGACGATAAATCGACGCTCATCGACGCTAGATCGACGCTGCTCGACGCTAGCCGACGCCAAGTCGGCGCTATCTCATCGACTCCCAGATGCAAATCGACGCTGGTCGACGCGAAAGGCAGAATTACGGGCGTACACAAGGCTCCCATGACTTGCCACCGACGGACACTGGGGGGGCAACATCAGGTGAAAGGTTTTCGTGTTCGACGTTTCGACATTGGGCGGAAAGGGGGGAGGGGGGGGTCTGGCTCCGGACCTCTGCTCAGTGTGACTGTTTGAAACAATGCGTCCCGTGGGGGAGACTCCACCTGCTCGAAACAGGCGCCGACAGCAGCCAAGATCTACTCCATAAAGGGGGCGGGGAAGGCGGGGGTGCGAGGGCCCGCGCCGAGCGGCAAATTAATGAATAAGAAAACGATCGCATGGCGGGCAAGCTCTGTTCCGCGGCAGTGGAAGCGACCAGGCTAGAGGCCACAGTGCCTGGCACGAACGGCTCCGCGTGCCGCGCCGCGCTCCGCAGCTGCCACTCGTGCGAAGCACGGTCGGAGGGCTCGAAGATTCGTCGTAGAAGGCACGGAAGGAGGAGGAGGGTGGAGGAGAACAGAGGAGCAGGAAAGGAGGACGAGGAGGAGGAAAAGGATGAGGAGGAGGAGGAGGAGGATCTGCTACCGAAAGAAACTGAGGAGTCGTGAGCCGCGAGCCGTGAAGAACTCCGCGCCCTCGTGGCGGCCCCTGTGGGGCAGGGAGGCGCGGTTGAAAGCAAGTTGGGTTTCGGCCCGTCCCCTGGGAAAGGCAGGGGGCTCGGGAGAGCCACTCGACCCCTGAACAACCGCGGATGGAAGCAATTCACGCGAACTTGATTCGTAACGTTGGAATTTCGACATTCGCAATCAGGTTTTCAAGCTGGGCGCGATCGGCGGCCGCCGCCGAAAGTGATTTAAGTAGATTTGGATTCGCGTAAATTTCTCACATCCACGGTAGGACGGCGCTTGCAACAAATTGGGGCCCGCTGCCCCACAACAGCCCACCTGCCCACGTTCGGCGAGCGACGGGCATCGTCATCCTCCGCCGATCCTCTCCTGTCTGCGGCCACCTCCCTCGACTTCAGCATGCCGTGCTCGTACTCGAGCTTCTCCCGAGCGCCGTCCCCCCAGCGCAGCAGACCCTCGCCGTGGTAGTGGCCGCCACGCCATCGGCCTGCCCGCGCCTTCGGCCCCCCGGCAGCACGCGCGCCCCGACGGGGGTGGTGACGCGGACGGCCGACCGCGGATCCCGGCCCAGCCTGACGAAAGGATGCATCTCAGAGCCACCACCGCCACCAACATCATCATCATCACCACCACCATCATCAGCATCATCATCACCATCATGATCACCATCATCAGCATCGCCATCATCATCGCCATCGTCATCAGCATCATCATCGTCATCACCACCATCATCATCACAAGCAACATCGCCACAATCAGCAGCATCATCATCACCATCAAAACCACGTGCACCCCTCTCAATACCATCTCCAGAGGAACATCTCGGAGAATGAAAGCGACGGCCCAAGACCGACTTCTTCCACCCGACGGTGGGCGGAGGGTGAATTGGAGGGACTGAACATCGGGTCGGACGGAAGAGGGGCTCAGATGAATCCTCCCGCTCCGCGCAAGCGAGGAGGAGCCCACGTGCCGATGCAGGCGCTCAGCGGCGGGGCCGAAACCAGCCGCCTGCGGCAGACTTCGTACCCCCTCCTGTCCCTATCCCTGTCCCCCCCCCCCATCCGACCCCCGGAGGACCAAGGCTGGACTCGCCCCAAGTTCCTGGCCGGAACGCACGGGGGCCCCGCGGGGCACCCGCTGTGAAGAACACGGCGACGTGTCGGGGGTCCGGCCCGGCGAGTCGGCCGGCGGCTCGTGCAATTGAAGGGGCCCCAGGACACACAAATAAAAACACACACAAAACACAGGATGCCCCATATCTTCTCATATTTTCGGGGTTTCGTCTTTCCCCCCTACATCACAAATCTTCCTACATCTTCCTGGGAATCGACGATGAACTGTGTCTGTATGCCTTTTCCCCTCCCTGAACAATGGTGTGGGGCGAGGCGGGCGGCCTCCCGAGAAGACGGGGCCTCCCTGTCGCCCCCAAGAGCAGCACCCCCCCACTCCACCGCTGTGCGCTGCACCCGCGGCAGCGCCGACGGGGGCAAGAGGAGGCCTCCAGAGAGGCGGGGGCCTCCTTGGCCGCCCCACTGCGGCGGCTCCCGAGGGGAACCTCGGCCCTGCCTTCGAGGCCCCCTCCGGCCTTCTCGGGGGGCCGCCTCTGTGGCCTCACCCCCGTGTGCGGCCCTGCGCGAGTGCATCCGCCCAGCGTCGGCGGCGCCCACAAGGGGGCCACGGGGGAGGGGGGAAAAGGCTTCTTAGGAGGCTGCTTCTCAGAAGGCGCCGGCCCTGCATCTCCAGAGAAGGCCCGGATCCTTCTAAGAATCAGTGTGCTTCTCAGAAGCCTTACCACCTCCCCCTACGCCCCTCTGAATGCATCGGTTCGGCTCGCGTGAATGCATCGGTGCGGACGTGGTGTAGCGGCATCATACAAGCCGCTCTTGGCCACATGGACGCGGCTCGGGAGGCGAGTCAGGATGGTGCCCGGAATGGCTCTGCAGAATGCTTGTGAGCGGATTCTGGGAACGGACGCGAGGGGGTAAGGAGAAAGCTCTGGGGGCGTGGGGTAGAGGGACATAGCGGCTTTACGGGCTCTGGTGGAGCTCGTGGACGTTGTGGGAAGGAGAGTGAGGGGGTGGAGAAGGGACGGGAGAAGGCAAGGCTGTGGCCCGAAAGGGGAAACGAGCGGGTGGAAGACTGATTTATGCGGAGGGAGGGAGCAGGAAAGAGAAAGCTGGGATGGAAGACGCCTCAGTGGGACTCCAAGAAACTGTTCATGTTTTTGTCAACACGAACTGGACGCTCGCTCGAATCTCTTCCACACGTCGTGCCGCGCGCAGTGCCCACTGGTTCCGGGTGATCGTGACTGCGATGACGGCCGACGATGGCGACGGGGACGAAAACGACGACGACGGCGACGTGCGACAATGGCGGTGACCGCGGCGATGACGCGGAACGGCGGTGGCGACAGCGACGACGGCGGCGACGGCAACGGCAACGACGGCGGCAATGGCGACGGCGACGACAGAAACACCGGCAACGGAAGAGCGACAGCGGCGACGACGGTGATCGCGGCTGTGGCGCGCGACGGCGACGACCGTAACGGCGACTGGCGGCGACATTGGCGACGGCGACACGACGACGGCTTAGGGGACTTATTGGGGCGCGCTGCTTCAAATGAATATGGCCATTAATACCACCACGGTCATGGTGAGACTGGCGATGGCAATGACGATGGTGATCGTGACGGCTGGCGGAGAGGACACCCGCTATGTCGGCGACCCGCGACGACGGCGACGGCAACTCGGCGATGGCGGCGGCGACGACAGGAGCAACGGCGAAGGCGACGACGACGGCGGCCGCGGCAGCGACTCAGCGACGGCGATGGCGGCGACCACGGCGCCGACTCGGCGACGGCAGGGACAACGCTGGCTGCGACGACGGCGGCGCCACGGCGGCGGCGACGATGGCGGCGACGACGGCGGCGAAGCCAGTTGCGACAACGAGGGTGATGACAACGACGTCGACGGAAATGGCGACGCGTGACCACGGCTACGATGACGGCGACGACGGCGATGGCAGCGGTAATGAGGAAAGCAGCGGCGGCGGTGACCGCGAAGGCGCCACAGCGACGACGATGACAGCGACAACGGAAGCGACAGCAACGTCGGCGGCGACGGCAACGGCGGCACCAAAGGCGTCAATTAGGAAGGCAGCGGCGGGGTGACCGTAACGACGCCGCGGCGACGGCGGCGAGAATGACGGCGATGTGATGACGTAGGACCGTAGAGGTCTGTAGAAGGCTCTAGAGGGACTGTGGAGGGCGTTTCTGGAGGGCTCAGAGATCGGCTCTAGAAGGAGGTGTGTGTGCCACCGTGGAAGTTCAAGTAGAGGGTCTATTCCGATAGTGAAGGCCTTTCGACATGATATAAACCACAGTTGCTATCGAGCCCCCTCTAGAAATACGAAGACAATGCACAGAGAAAAGCAAACTAGAAAACGCCACTGGTCTGCATTTGTCACCAATTGAGCCTGCCGCGAACAAACAAACAACCAATTTTCCAGATAAACCTGCGCATCACGGGGATGTCTCTTCAGGTTCTGGCGGGGTCTTCGCTATAGGCCGTGAGGTGGGCACGGAAATGCTTCTGGCTGCTGGGCCTGCAATGAAGATTCTTACGGCTCCAGCAGCATTCGGCGACTCCGAAGGGTGTGGTTTGCAAAGGGTGTGGTTTACAACCGGCACCCTGGGGAACATCCTGGGGGGCACCCTGGGGGTCGCGCGTGGACCTCGATAGAGTTCTCCCGCGCCCCGAGGAGGCCCGACGAGGACAGTGTCGTGCCCCCCAGGCCCCAAAGGTGCCGATCGCAAACCACACCCTGGCGTAACCATACCCTTTGTAGTCGCCGAAGCATGGTTGTACAAACATGACCGCGAACATTAGCTCAAACACGAGTGCGTATGCATGCCACGCTTCCACCAGTCCGCACGTGTTGGTTACATGCACGGCGCCGTGTCTGTCAGGGCTGGCTGGGAAGCAGGGAACTGAACCGCTGGCAAAACCCCCGTCGAAACAAAGAGTCCACGAACACGGCATGCATGCCCACGCTAGCAACTTTAATTCTCAAATTTCGCCAATGCCCGCACCCCAACCCACCCTCGAAGACGGTGTCGGCCTTGGTGTCGAAGTACTTGCCTGTACCGTGTTGAAGGCCGTTGTCCCAGCGGCCTCCAGAAGAGGATGCCATTGAGATGCGGGCAACCATGCAAAGGATCTGCTGAAGGAATACAAGGGGAAGTGCTGACTGACCCTTGGATTGGAATCGTGTTTGCGCTGCGGCACTTAGGAGCAATGCAAACACAACCAGAGCGCAAACGTCCACACAAAATAAACAATGCTGGAGGTCCAAGTCCAGGTGGGCCCTCTCGAGGAATTCGTAGCATCCGCTGGTACTTCGGCCGTGCGTGATGTGCTGTGCGTGCGGCGCTAACTGGATGTCGCTCTCACGGCCCAAAACAGGTTCACTTTGAATGGTAACATTTATGGCGACACCTGCTGGTCCACCACCGCTGTCCCAAGCTTGTGACGGCCAACCGCGCGGAAGCTTGATGTTTTCCGCTATAGACGTACGCTATCGCAGTGGGGCGTACTTGAATATTCAACCAGATCCGACTCTTTGCCGGCGGCATGTTGCAGCATGCCAGAAAGTGCGCTAGCTGCTTGGCAGGCTTTCTGATACTTTCCATGGGCGACCATATACCTATGGGGAACAGCAGAACAAGTCCCACCTTGCATTTTGCACATGAATAACACCACCGGCACCAAAGAGTCCCAACACGGCTACAAGGCTCCCCAGGACCACCCCAAGAGGTCTTCGCAAGCATGGTTGTTTTGCAAATGGCGCTCACTGAACCCACGCGGATAGCCCCTGAGGGTCCCAAACTGTAGGAACACGTGCGTGTAGGTGTCCCTGCTTCCCAGAGCCACTTCGGCTGAAGAGCCCGAAAGAGGCCTGACAGTGCAAGGCAGCCTCCAATATGACCCAGGACGGTCCCACGACCAAAACGGCCCACAATATTTGCCTTTTTCACCAGATAGCCGACATTCCCTGACGAATGAGCTTCTCTCTTGCTCCGACCTCCTAACCCTGGGGACCCCTCCGCATTAGTCATGTGAATGGATGGGCCCTCAACGAAACGCCCGACATAGCAACGATGTCCCGTAAAATGAATATGAGCATGGATCGTGTTACGCGCGCGCTATGAGAGAGGCGCGCGCGCCATTCTCCGCAAAGACGCCCGATTCGCCCTATCCGCACAAGTGTTTTGAGCCGAACGCGCGAAGCGGCATGCACTCATATATGAACTCTAACGAGAGGCGCAGGGAGCGAAAACAAGGACTGCCGCCACGGCAGGCCCGGAACAACTTCGCCCCGCGCGCCCGCCTTCCGCGCGCCTCAACCAAGGGCGCAAACCCCAGAGAAAGCTTTTGCAACGCCACCCGTCCGAGTAGCACCTACTCTTGCTGCAGGGGTGAAGGCTAAGTCGCTCGACGTAGCTCCAAATGTGATTAGACAGGGCCCGCGGGCGCCACCGCATTGTTTGTTATGCTTTCAAGTGATTGAACGACGCGTCCTACTTTCCCTCGTCGTCGAACAATGCATCGTCTGGGCACGATTCGAAGGCAGCGGGCGTTTCGGCGGCCTCGGCCCCGGCCCCGAGAGCCCCTGCGCCTCCTTTAAAGGGCCCAGCCACGGCAAACATTAACTCGAGATTGGGCTCGGCCTGGCAGTTGGCTCTCCCTTCATCTGGCTGCTGATGATGCTCGAGTGTCTCCTCGCGGTTCCGCCTGGCCCTCGCCGCCGATCTGAGAGCGGCGTCCGCGGGCAATCTGAACTCCAGCCTCCAATCTGAACTCCAGCCTCCATCTCAGAAGCGGTTCGCTCACACTTTCGGCAGCAATGCGCGCCTCCTGCTCAGACATTCGAAAATGATCCTTCTCCCTCGTCTTCTGACGACGAAGCTCCTATCCTCCTGGGCCCTGCATTCTGCCGCGTTTTCTCCCTCGACATTCTCGCTTCAGCACAGCGCCCGCCTGCGGGCTGCCGGGGTGAAACGGCCTTTGCAGCGCGCTCCGGCACGCCCCCCGCAATCGGCACGCTGTATCTTCTGGCGCGCGCGACCCTCTGCCGGATCCTAGTGCCACGCCAGTGGCGGCACGTCCGCTCGTGCAGGCCGTCCGCGCGCAGGCTGGCCGCAGCATTGCAGCAATAGCAGAAGCCTGCGCCGCGCGGCTGGCGCTCCGAGCTTTGGATAGCGGAGCCCCTGGGGAAGGAATCTTATTTTTTTGTGTGCTCTCTCTCCCTCTCTCTCTCTGTCTGTCTCTCACTCTCTGCCCAGGCCATGCCGTCTTCGTCCAATCTCATTGCGAGTGGTTCGCCCTGTCGGATTCTGACAACATGCCCCTCCCTGCGCTGCGTCTCTTGCGCCCCCCGCGTCGCTGCCGCGTCTGCGTCGCGACGCGCGGCGACGTCTCGACCGCTCGGGCAGCCCGGTCAGCTCCCTTCATCCAGTTGGCCAGCGTCTCGTTCTCCACGTCCCTCAGGCCGCGCTCTGCGCTCGAGCGGGGGGCGCCCGCCTCGGGGGCGTCTGCTCCTTCGCTTGATCTTCAGCGGCCTGAAGTTCAGTCCTCACCTGGTTTCCATTGCGCAGTACGTGACGATTGAAGTTTCGAGCCTGTCCTCTAGCCGACCCTTCATTCGTGCCGAGTTGTTGGCGGCTGCCTGGTGTTGGTCAGCTTTCCACGCGGCTTCTCATGGCGCGACAGTTAGGCCCTGTTCGTTGGGCGCCGTCGGCGCGCGCGGAATCGACGCGCGCTGCTCGCAGGTCCACGCGCATTCATTAGACGCTGGCCCGTCACAAAGAACCCGCTTTCCTTGGGCAGCTAATTTCAGCGCCGTCGGGGCAGCTGATCACAGGTTTCCAACGTCCTTCCCCGGCGGACATCCGACTCATGGGAGACGCGCTGAATCTGGTAGCGAACGTCGCCCCCTAGTCACCAACGCCGAAGAACATCTGACACTCCTCGACCAACTCTCTTCGTCAGAGCTTTGCATCGAGGTGCGCCACAGCTCGTGGTCACATTCCTCTGACCTTGCGAAGGTCGGAGGCAAGTCGAATCCCGCGCCGCGTGAACCCCCCGCTTTCCTCGATCTGGCCCGGCGAGCGGCGTTGGCTGCAGGCGGCGCGGGGCCGGCGGCAAAACGACCGCGGCCCGCGCCCTGCCTGGAGGACCCACTGGGCAACCGCGCGGGAATGGCGGCAGAGCCGCCGCGACCCGCGCCCTGCCTGGGAAACCCGCCGGGCATATTTCTTCATCGCTCTCCGCGACAACCTCGGGTCGAAGCGTCCGTGACGGGACAGGCCGGCTTCTCCTCGCTCTGGCGGGGTCGTCGAACTCTGGCTCCACTCCCCCCATTTTCCTCGGATGGCAAGAACTCGACCTTGAGTTGTCCTCTTCCGCGCCCGAGCTGTGAATGCATCCCTCGCGCTTGGGAAGATCGAGCACGGCGCTCTCGACTGAATCGGGAAGTGTTGCTTGTCGGCTGTGGACCGTAGCCAACGGCTCGGGCGCGTCAGATGGCGCTGGGGCCTCATGCGCGCCGCCCGCGCCTACTTCGCCAGCGCCGGCGAGACCGGCGCCCGAGGCATCGTTGCCCGCCGCCTCAGCCTCGGGATCGTCGGACTCAACCTCGATGACCTCGGAGACTCCATCCTTGACCTCGGAAGCATAATCAAGTCGAGATTCGGTTCTATCTGCAATCGCACGCGCTCCACGCGGGGACTCCATGCCGTCTGCTGACGACAGAGCCCCACCTTCAGCAATAATGCTTGCAACCTTGGCTGGTTTTGCTTGCCACCCAGGCTGGCGCGATTCTTGCTTGACTCCCCAGGCATCGATCGGGACCTTGTGGATGCTTCCGATCCTTCTTTTGATTGCCGAGGAGACTCTCCCCCTCCGTGGAACATCCTCGAATCCATGGCTCTTCTGTCCAGGAGGAATGGACTGTCATAGGCTTCCACGCCCTCCTTGAAGGTTCTTCTAACGAGATCACCCACCGATTCGTCGAACGTCGTTCTCTCACCACGGTCATTCGGATTATTCGAATTACTGCTCCTGTGTCACTGTGACTCACTGCGTCCAGTTTCTTATCCATCATACTTTCGGCTAACAACCTGTCTTTCGTCAGATCCGTCGCCGTGCATCTGGGCACGGAGTGGGCGTGTCTTCAAGTCCTTTGCCCAATCCGCTAGACCTCAATCCTTACTATTGAGGAGCTTCTTGAAGGCCTATAGCCCACATGGAAATGGTTAAGTCTGCCAAAGATTGGCGATGTTGGGGTTTTGTAGCGCTTCCTCGCGTGAATTTTCCGAGCCCTAGAGAGGCCCAACACGGGCTAAGAGGGCCCTCGAGGACCCCCGAAACGTCCAAGAAGGCCTCGATATCGCCGAACGATCTTTCCAAGACGCTCAAGATGGCCCTCAGACGGCCCAAGAAACCTCCAAGACGGCCCGAAAAGGACACGAATAGGCTTCCCAAGAGGGCCCCAAGAGGCCAAAATCATGCATGCTCCTTAAATTGTTGAAGGTTGTTGGGGCTCTCGCCATTTCGGCTTCCCGGCTTTCCCAGACGGCCCCAGAGGCCCCCGAAATCGGCCCAAGACGGCCCAAGAGACGTCCAAGAGGGCCCCAAGACGGCCCAAGAGGCGCCAAAGACAGCCAAAGCCGCCCAAATGATTGCCTCAACGAGGTCGCAGATTGGGCACTTCGAGCCCTCGACCCCGACGGGCCGCTAAGAGGCCCCAAGAGGCCCCCGAAAACGTACCGAAAATACCCCTAGAAGCATCCCGGAGAACTCTGACCCGCAACCCACGCACAATGGCGGGATGGGCCGAATGCAACTAGATAGTCAACATTCTCTGACAGGTGTAGCGCACCAAGCAAGAGGCGAGCGCACCCTTTTTCCGGTAAGGCGCTAGCTGCGTCATATCTTCACAACTATATTGAACCGAACTCGTGCGGCGGCACGCGTGCATAAGCTCTAAAAAGAAGCAGAGGGAGCGAATGTAATTAACGACTGTATCCAACGACGGCCCTTAGGAAGACCCGAACAGGCGCCCCAGATGTAGTTCTGCCGAACATCTTCGAGAGAGCTTGGTAGAGCCATCGCGCCCAAGACGATCCCATGACCCGCACGAGGCCCCAAAGAGGCCCTCCAGAAGCCCACAAGAGGCGCACCCGAGAGGGCCCCAAGAAGCCTCAGGCACCAAAGCAACTTCAAGAAGACCTCACGACCCCCATCCAAAGAAGCAGCCTGACACACATGCAATGTCACGGCAACGTCATGCTGTTCCCAGACGACCCCAAGTGGTCATATCGAACCTATTGGAAAGAACACGGTTGAGCAGCCACGCTTGAATGTCGATGCTGAGCTTGCAAGATGGCGGACTTTGCGGACTTTGCCGCAGGCAGCTGGCGGTAACCTGCTAAACAGACCAGTAAACTAAAACGCATTGGCCACTCTTAGCGCAATGCTCTGGTAATAACGTACCGGTGGTACCATCTTGTAGTGCAACTCATAGGACAAGGAACTACTTTGCGTGTGTTGCCGGTGCTGTGCACATCGAAACTAAGAGCGCGCAAAATCTCCACCCGGAACGCAACGAATATGGTGACAAGCGTTCACGCTGCGCTACGTATGCAGGCGATAAATATACAGGTGCACCCGCCAAGCCGCGAACGGCCCGATGCTCTACTGCCTGTTCTGATACCCGCTCCCTGACCGAAATAGGTTGCTTGCAATAGCGGTATGCGGTCCCGTGCGCTGGCTAACGGCCCCCTGCTTGTGTTGTAGAATGTGCAAGAAAATTCCGACCGTCGAGCACAAAAACCCAGGCTCCTCTAGGTCAATGTGAATGTGCGACCCTGGGACGCCATAAGAAGGCCGCTATGATTCACGTGAGCCGCCAGTGGATGACAAGCCCCGATCTAATCCCACTGGCGAGTGCTGTCTGGTGACCGTTCGAAGCTCCCATGCGTCCGGTGATTCGTCACAAAGCCAGCAGATCCAGCACATGCACGCCACTGACCGCCTTTATTTCGCGTGCAGGCGTGCCTCAGTGGCCAACGGGGAGCATACCATTTGATGCGCAACCACCCGCTACAAACGAACACACAACATTTCGAGTTTGTACCTTCGAAATCTTAATTGCACCTGCCGCGCAAGAGTCCGTCTCATGCCAAGGCCGCGCTAACGGCGATGTTGGTTGACGGCGATGTTGAGAATATGATCTTTGTGACACCGAGCTCGCGCACAACAAATTGTAGGAACTCACGGAACCACACTTTCTTACATCTCTGATGTGCGAATGCATCGATCGAGAATGACGCAGCGAATTGTAGGAAAACGCGAACCACGATCTCCTACAACTGGTTTGGCCACGCACCAGTCCCACCTACAATGCCGAAATCTACGTCGCCGTTACCTTCATTGCCGTTAGCGCGTCTGCGGTCATGCTGGCGCAACAATATAGACCTCGCGCGTGCTTCGAGCGCGCGATGGTTGTACCGGTCTTGGGGTCTACGGTTGGGAACTTTTTAGCGTGTCGCCACGGCGGCCCCGGCGACATATGCCCTGCAAGTGGATACCGTGTCGCTTTGCTCTGCTGGGTGGGAGGCTCGGAAAGGCTCGGGATGCTGAGTTCTAGAGACTGCGAAGCGGATTGCGTGTCGCGCCGAAGCGTGGTGGGCCAGAACCGGCGGAGCGACACGCTATCCAAACGTTGCCGACCGTAACGAATAGTGCGGAAGAGGGACCAGCCAAGAAAAGATGGGGGCCGCGGGGTTCAAACCCAACGAGTTCGCTGCCGAAGGCGCGATCAGCGGCTCGGGCCAGTTTGAAGGGTGTGCGACTAGGTTAATTCAAATATACCCGGGTGTCGTCGTCGTCGTCGTCGTCGTCGTCGTCGTCGTCGTCGTCGTCGTCCCCCTTCAGGGTCGGCGGCACTGGCCGTAAAGCCTTCAGATTTTCTAGGAGGGGAAGGGGACCCAGGTTCTACCACCGCCGCGCCGCCTGAGTGCTAGCCTGCACGCCCAAAACGACAGCCAAACTCACCTTCGAGCAGAGGTCTTGCGCGGTTCGGCTGTAAGGGCTTCACCAAATCAACCTGCGTGTGATCGTCCATTTAGGTCGGGCCTGTCCTCCTACATTGGGATTTTGAACGAACAATTAAAGATACCTTCAAAAAATGCCCCCAAAATGGTCCCAAATAGTGGAAACATCGTCCGCGTACTATTTTTTGACTACTTTTGATTATTCCCCCTGTAGAAGGACAGACCCGACTTAATCGTACATCCCCCCTCCCCCCCCCCGCAATTGCCCACTCCTCACCTCCGCCGCGCCCGCGTTCCCCGCTAGCCAAGGAGTATGGGAAGAGGAGGAGGAGGAGGAGGAGGAGGAGGAGGAGGAGGAGGAGGAGGAGGAGGAGGAGGAGCAATAGGCTTGAGGAAAGTGTTTTGCAAATGCATTGCGCCGGAGAATTGTATTGCATCGTATACAGCTAAGCTGTATTGCACGCGAAAATCCAAGGATACATTCGCGCCCCAAAACGTATTGCACGCCCCAAATCTACTGCAACCCATCAATCTATTGACCAGATATATTGCATCACCCCCTTGTAGCTGGACCCCTGTTTCGGTCAACCAGAAGAGGGCCGATCACGGCCCTTATCGCCCAGACATTCACAAACAAAAAAAACAGACTCTTTGGGCCAGTCCTCGTCCATCTGGGAACCCTTCTGGGGCCGCCCTGCGTCTCCTTCGCAGCCCTCCAGGAACAACGTGTCTAATCGAGACGTGCGGAAACACAAAACATACAAAACCTGGTTTCTCCGGTATTTGTCGATTTGGTTGGTCTGGGGTTCTTGGAGCCCTCCTGTGGCCTCTTCGGGCCAGGTGTCGGTGATCTTGGAGCCTCTTGGCCCCTCCGGGACAAACATTCCAGAATCCCCCTGGAGATTCTGGGGGGCCACTGGCGCCATCCTAGGGGCTCTTGGAGCCCATGTAAAAGGCTCCGGGCGGGGAGATGACGCTTACTGTACTCTTGGTGCCAGGCGGGGCCAGTTCTCGCGTCTCTCAGATCGGGGTCACACGGTCTCCGTCGATTTGCGCCAAGATCTGCTACATTCGAGGATTGGCAGAACACCCCTTCGCAAAACGCCTTTTAGTGAAGGCTTTCAGCGGCACTCCACAAGCGCACGGCACCGTATTCCGAAAAGACCCCGACGGGATAGACTAATCGACATCCCAGTGCGAGCGACTGAATCCGGCAAAACGCACGTCGATTCGCGAAATCCACTGGGGACTTCACTGGCGCACTCTTGTCTCAATGCCGAGTGAACCTTAGCACATATCCTCAGTCAACTTGTTTGGGTGGGTGTTCTCTCAATGCCCGATACATCAGGACTCCCATGCAGGTACTGTGTTCACACTTTTACGATGCATTCCTCAACTGCAGGTGCTTCTGCTTCTGAGGGGAATACAACACATGCTTTAGAATTCCAGGCCTTCATAGCTTGTCGTCCCATCGAATACCTGTTTGCCAACACCATGCCGCTTGCCGTCCTTCCACTGTCCGGTGTAACACCGGCCATTCGACTCCTTGCCAAGCGCACGCAAACGACAATCGTATCTGCCACAAGGACGCTTGACTGCAATGCTCGGTGCTCAACACTGCCGATTAGCAAGCACACGCCCGTCGAAGTCACCGCTGAACATGCTGCTACCCTGCCAGACGGCCAGCTTTGCCCCCCCCATGCGTGCTTGCGATTCGAAGTGCTATGTGTATACTGAAGAGTACACGTGCAACTCATGATGCATGCCATGGACATTTGTGCTCAAGCCGTTCTAGGCGCCTTGAGTCCTGGTGGGACAAACATTCCCTCCTGTGCGCTTCCCCTCCTGCAACGACAGCGAGCTGACGGCGACGACGGTCACATTATCGAAATCCTCTCGGATCCCAGGGGTGCCTTCGGTATTCAGTGGAGGTTCGAGGAGTATCGAGGATTGAAAAAATGGAGCAAGACGTTGGCCCCTCTTGACTCTATGCATAGTGTGCATATTTTCGGGTATACCCACCCCCACGGACATCGACAATATGGACTATACACCAGGCGTGGACAAAGAGGTCGCAGCGCTGACGGGCGAGAGTTTGAAGGATTATGCCAGGCACAAGCGCGCAATTGAGGCCAACATTCCAGGGCGGCGCGACGAGGCGGAGAAGGCATCGCGAGCCCCAAGACTGTACAGGCACCCGGTGGCTCCGACCAGCAACACCTGGGTGCTGATCGAAGCAGAACGGATCCAGCAGACGTCGCCGAAGAAGACGGAGCCAAGAGACTCATCACGTGCCCAGACCCCCGACGTCGTGATTCGTTCGGAGGAGACAGAATGCGCCAGGAGGATGCAGGAGGATGCAGGAGGATGCAGGAGGGTGCAGGAGGAGGAGGAGGAGGAGGAGGAGGAGGAGGAGGAGGAGGGAGGAGGAGGAGGAGGAGGAGGAGGAGGAGGAGGAGGAGGAGGAGGAGGAGGAGGGGAGGAGGGGGAGGAAACAGGATATGCAGGATGCAACAGGACCCCTTCCCCGGGACCGGCTTTTCATCCTGAGTCGTCTTTTGACGGGTCCCGAGGCCCGGGAAGGGCCTCCAGAGCCCGAAAACAGAGAGCGAGGCCTCCCGTCGTGACTTTTGCCGCAGCCCGAGGGGGTCTGGGGAGAGGGAGGAGGGAGGAGGGGGGAGGGAGGAGGGACGAGGAGGAGGAGGAGGAGGAGGAGGAGGAGGAGCAGGAGGAGGAGGAGGAGGAGGAGGAGGAGGAGGAGGAGGAGGAGGAGGAGGAGGAGGAGGTGGGAGGAGGAGGAGGAGGAGGAGGAGGAGGAGGAGGAGGAGGAGGAGAGGAGGAGGAGACCCCAAGACGCCTCGACGATGCTGCAGCACGCTGTTTGAGTCGTTTCCTGACGACCCCGAGGCCCAGGAAGGGCCTCCAGAGCCCGAAAACAGCGAGGACCTTCCCGTCGTGATGTTTCCCCAGCCTCCACTGGTGTTGGGCACTCGCTTTGAATAGAGCAGTGTGGTCTCCTCCTCCTCCTCCTCCTCCTCTCCTCCTCCTCCTCCTCCTCCTCCTCTCCTCCTCTCCTTCTCTCTCCTGTTTCCTGTGTTCCCTTCTCCTCTTCTCTCGTGCCGTCTGCGATCTGCGCAACTGTCGCCACTTTCGTGGGCTCCTGGGAGGCCCAGCGGAGGTGGGTCCCACGCGGACCACCTCGGGACCTCGCCGCCCCCTGGGGGGCTTGCGATCTGCGCAACTGTCGCCACTTCCGTGGGCTCCTGGGAGGCACAGCGCCGCTCCCTGGGGCCCGGGGCCCTGGGGGGCTTGCGATCTGTGCAAACTGTCGCCACTTTCGTGGGCTCCTGGGAGGCCCAGCGGAGGTGGGTCCCACGCGGACCACCTCGGGACCTCGCCGCTCCCTGGGGGGCTTGCGATCTGCGCAAACTGTCGCCACTTTCGTGGGCTCCTGGAAGACCCAACAGAGGTGGGTTTCACGCGGACCACCTCGGGACCTCGCCGCTCCCTGGGGCCCTGGGGGGCTTGCGATCTGCGCAAACTATCGCCACTTTCGTGGGCTCCTGGGAGGCCCAACGGAGGTACGTCATACGCGGACCACCTCGGGACCTGGCCGCCCCCTGGGGGGCTTGCGATCTGCGCAACTGTCGCCACTTCCGTGGGCTCCTGGGAGGCCCAACGGAGGTACGTCATACGCGAACCACCTCGGGACCTCGCCGCTCCCTGGGGGGCTTGCGATCTGGGCAACTGCCGCCACTTTCGTGGGCTCCTGTGTTCACATTTTGGGCGCGTTTCTTTCAACGCCCCTGTGTTTCCATGTTGTAGATTTGCCGTTCCTGTTCTGGCTGCGCTCTTCTGAAATCACTGCTGGGTGCTCTTCTTGCGCACTGCGGGTCCTTCAGGATGCCAGTCAGCATTGAGTGGTCCTGAGTATTACCGCCACATGTATAGAAAGGGTTGGGTACTTCACAGGGTAATCTCACAGCGCGAGGGGGTCTGGGTTCCTGGAGCAGTCGGGGCTTCGCAAGTCGGACTTCAGGGAGCCAACGCGCGCGTGCGACGCGTTCCACAGGGCGACCGAATGTCGGCCCGCTGCACATCGACGGAAGCGGCCAAGGCGAACATAGCGAGAAGACCGACAGGGGAGAACGCAGATCGGCGACAAGGAGCGGAGCTGCTGGACGCCAGAGAGGTCAGGACTGGACCGCGACGAGGAGCAGGCAGACTTCTGCTTCCCGCCCCGCGCGGTCGACGCGCCAGAAGGCCGGTCGATCCGCACAGGTGCGCAGCCCAGCGCACCCCGGGGCCGCCCGCGGCCGGTCGGGGCTTCCCCTGCCGCAAGGGAGCAAGTGGGTCTTGGCTTCTGTTGCTCCCATCGTGCTTATGGACCACATCTCAAAAAGAGTTTCGAGCACCCAGAAAAAAACATCGAAACAATGTCGAACGCGTATCGCCTCCCAGGGCCCGATACGTGAAAGCCTCTCCCTCGGTACTCGAAATTGGTTTTGGTGATCAAGGCTACAACAGTAGGTTGGAACACCATAGGTCTTGGCCGTCCTGAACGCACTCGGCTTCGTCGCCATCCGCCAGTCCTCGCGCGCTGATCCAGCAGGGAATTCCCGCGGCTGTGCAAGGCTTCGCCTGCTGCAGGGCCTTTCGGCCGGCGCCTTACTTGGACACCTCCGACCTCCTCTTGATCGCCTTGGTCCCTCCGAGCGTGCGGACGTACTCTCCGACGACAGCGGCGACAATGAGGGCGGCTGCGTGGCTAACCCAGCAGTGGAACTGCGCGGGAAACCCCGAGACGAAGCACGTGGCGACACGATGAAATATCTGGCACGTGGCGGCAAAGTCCAGGCACTCCTTTGCGTGCTCAACCACGACGCGAGGGGCACACACCCAAACGTGGTCGCCCAGAGGGAGCACGCGAGTGTCAACCCAGGTGGTGGGTTCCTTGCCCAGACCGAGGCGCGCCGACGATCCAGGTGGCAGCGGACTGGATCCCGACAGAGCAGAACCACAAGGCGGCCTGCAGGACCACGACCCGCGCGGAGATCTGCCCGGGGTCGAAGACGTTGGCCTCGAACCACTTGCCCGCCGCCGGCAGGGGCGCCCGAAGGGCAGCCCGCCAGCGGCGGCCGCCTGCGCGCGCGGGGCCGCCGCGGCGACGGAGCACCTGCCGCGCTCGAGCCCCGGACCGCCAGCCGCACGCGGAGAGAGCGCCCGCGCCCGCGCGTCGCCGCGGCGCGCGCCGCTGCGCCTGGGGCGCCCAGCTGGCTGGGCGGCGCGCGAGCCGGGGCGGCCCTCTCGAGCCCAGGTGGCCCTCTCGAGCCCTCCCGGGCGACGAGAAGCAGACAGACTGGCCGGGGCTGACGAGACGCTCGACTTCGCGAAGGCCAGCATGACGCTGGAGAACGTGTCTTCGCGAGGCTCCTGGCATCGTGTTAAGGACATCCTGCCACGTGAGCCACCGAGACGGTCGGCCTAGCCTAAGAGGACGCCGACGACGGCCAGTCCGACTAGGACACTGGTGGTGGCCATTTACGACCAGGGCGCGCAGCTGGACCAAGTGCAACGACGGCTGCGGGTGCAAGTGGAGCGAAGACCACGACGCCTCCGTGAGCCAAACCTACGCCACCACGACGCTAGACGGCTACGACTCCGTCGGCGAAAAGGCCTTCGCCGTCGAAGACGAAACAGCCCAGTGGATAGTCGACCAGGGCATCGAGCACCAACAGGTGCTAGTGACGCTACGCGAGTCGCGAGACAAGATGCGTGCGGCACGGGGCTTCTTCAAGGGCAAGACCGACGGAGTAGTGCTGGACGGAAGCGCAGCAGAAGGATGCACGCCGAGCGCCAAGTTCGTCGGCAAAGGCAAATCCAAGGGCTCGAAGAACAAGAGGCGCAGCGGGTGCAATCATTTCGACTGCAATCGTCCCGACTGCGGCAGCGGAGGCAAACCTATGTTTGGCAAGCAGCGACCAAAAGGCAGGGGCAAATAGTCAGGACGAGGCGAAGGTGCTCCAGGGAAGAATCGTCTTGGCATGTGGGTGATCAGAACGGTCGTTGGGATCAGCGGCTGGCAGAAGACGGACAACAACAACACGATCACGCAAAAGACGGACAACAACAGCACGATCACCATCCGTTATGTGGACCGTCGGTGTCAGAACGCAAATTCGGTGGTTGGCCCAGGCCTCCCAAGTTCAGCGTCTCCACGTGCTGGATTCGTGAGCGAGCTTGAGACCGACGTGGAGATCTACATGACTACCGGGATCGCGTTACTACAAGTCATGAATCTTAGGTTCGGCGAGTCCGAGGTCCCCTACTCACTGATGGACTCTGGACCTGGCACAGCCGTGGCAAGCCTGGACAGGCTAGCGAAGATAACAGCAGAACTCCGACGGTATGGCCTCCGTCCCCTGGAGATCGAGGCCAGCCAGATTTTCAAAAGCTTGGGAGACGCCATGCGACATGCCAAGGAGCAGTGGCTCGTCCCGATCGGAATCGACAAGAAACATCATCTCCAGAAATACTACGCAATC